TTAAGAGAATTTAATACTTTGCTATAGTGTGTTTATTTTCCTAAACATAGGATTTTGTAGTGGTGCACACAGTTTACTAAGGAAAAAAAGAAGTTATGTAAGTGGCAAGAGAACAATTTGAAGGGAGTTAACGCTGGAAAAGCAGCTTAAGTATTTAATAGCTTATTTTTAATTTTTGTCTATGAAGTTAATACATGTATTGTGATTTGAATTAATGTATAATCAATAAGGAATAATTGGTTTATTTGTATTGCTACGAATTGATGTGATGCACAAAAAAAGCATCGTGCAGATGTGGTAAATTGTGCAAACAAACAAAAAAAGACAGACAGGCTGTAAAAATGGCATGTAGGAGAAAGAGTCTACTTAGCTTGCAGTGTTTGTGTACAGTGTATAGCTGTGAGAAAAGGTGTGTGTGTGTGTGTGTGTGTGTGTGTGTGTGTGTGTGTGTGTGTGTGTGTTGCATGTGGGGGTGCATCAGTCTGCAGACACCTGCTCCATTCTGCAGTGATGGCTCCCAGCGGGACACAAGCTCAGCTGCTGATCACTAGGCCCTCCCTGCAGCACTGGTGGCCAACACACACAAAAATACACACACATATATGGATGAACACACACACAGACACACTCCTCTTCCAACAAATGTGAACCCTTCAAGCTCCCTCAGTTCCTCGTAACTGAACCACCACATGTGCTCAGATCAGCCATAAACACGGCACGATGCACAGGCTGCACCGTCTGCCTTCATGTGGTGCTGAATGTAAATTCAGTCATGCAGGGTGGTCTTAACTCACCCCACCGTTGCCAGTTTTATGCGATAGGTGTGATATTGTTTTGAAAAAAGGCTGTCGTTTCTTTCGTTTTGCATTTTACATCCTTGTAGCTAAAACGCTTTCACCGACAGGATCCCTTTTTCTGCATTTGCCGTTATTTTGTTCGACGAATATTCTGCCCCCACAACTGCTAATTTAAAATTTACAGCAGATCATCTGATAGTTCAGAACATTATACAAAAGCCACATTTGTTTTTTCCTCTCAGTCTTGCTGTAATCAGCCGCTATTGTGCTCGTGGTGTGATTATTTCTGATCCTGCAATTTGCACATTTCTGCGTTTCTCCGTCTGCGAGCGTCTCTTTCTGTTTTCCAGCGCCGTCCTTCAGCCTGCTGCACCTGTTTGTGCCTCGGTGACAGCAGGGTTGCAGAGCATAAGTGAACTAATTTCCTGGATATAGACAACACGGCAATCAAGGCACGGAGAAATGCAGCGAGCGGCAGATGGAAGGAGCTAATTATTGTTATGAAATAGAGATGACCTCTAACTATCTGCTGGCTGCTTATTCCGTGGTAACACACGGTTGCCAGCTCTTATGCCACCGACCACCCCTTTTTTCCCCCCTTCTTTTTTTTTGTTGCATTTTGTAGGGATTATAAATGACTTAAGGCAGGTTTGAAATGCAGCCTTTCTTTCTTTGTTAAATGTGGAAACAGGAAAGAATGCAGTTGTCAAACAAAGCCCAGTATCACATAGAGAACGGCAGCTGCTTGCAGTGGGTAATCAGTGCAGCTTTCTCCAAATTAACAGCATTCACTTCTGAAGCATGATGCTCAGAGTGTGTTTGTAGACGTGGGTTGTTTTGGAAATTGGATCTTATTGCCAGGAAAAAAGAAGGGAAAAAAAGGATTTGTTGGCAACTTGATTTTTGTTTCCACAAATTTCACCTCGTCGTTTCAGATGGACGTCGCAATCGTCCCGATCGAAAACACAAGAATGTTGGTTTGAATTGTCCGTTTGCTTCTCCCTGTGCCTGACCTCTAATCGCTCAGGGAAGTAATTCTGCGAGTGCTCGTTTGAACGCCACTGCCTTACAAGCTTTAACCACAGGATGCACTGAGAGCATGCACACACTGACACGGAGGCAAAGCAAGCTGCCCAAACACACACAAAACTCTGTACTGCAAAACGAATGCAGTTGCAACAACAAGGTGTAGTGCAAATATGCCACATAAAACAAATTAATTAAACTGTGCAATGAATATCAAAAAAGCGTATTAGCTTCAATTTTTTAAAATAAATATCCCTCACAGATTATTTGTTTCATTTTTTAATTCTATTATTAACAATGCAGCAAAAAATTTACACGCCACCTTTATTTCTTTTTAAAAGCAGCAGCCTAAAAAAATAAATAAATCAGTGCTGCTTTTGAGGCTTTACACAGCAAAACAACCAGAATCTTCCAGCACATTTCTCTAATGTATGCAAATGATCTGGCTGTGCCTAATGAAGGCACCATTAATCACTTTAACGATGGTCTTTTTTAACCTGGGTATTCATGCACATGCGCGCGCACACACACACACACACCTACACACACACACACACATATATATGTGCTTACACACATTCCCCTTCAAAAACAAACATCATCAGAAAAGTAGAGATTACAAAAGAGAAAAAGTTTTACCCATTTTTTAAAGAAGTGATTTGCTAAAAAAAAAACATTTAGTATAATTTTTATAAATACATTTGATTTTTTTTACTCTAAAGATGTCGTAACTGTTGATTGTTTTTACCCTCATTGAAAATAAAATGAAGCTAGACACCTCTTTGTAATGCTCCACCCTTAAAAACGACACTAATCTCTACAAAATCCCATCTATTAAGGTGCTAAAAAGATTTCTTAAACAAGGGTAACTTGTCAAATGGTATTTATGCCAAAAATCCAGCTGATTAGTTCCTGGTTTCGACAAATAATTTATGGTTCAGCACCTATAGGCAAACAGCTGATAGCACTGTTGTGGGTCTAAACCAAAGCTTCTCTAAAGCATCAACAAAACACTGGACAGATGGCTTTGAACTTGTGTAAGAATTCAAAGCAAAAAAAAAAAAAAAACTTTAAAAAAGGAAAAAAGAAAAAAAGATATGTTTTAAGCCCAGTTCCATGAGGACATATTCCACTGCTTCTTCCTTTTTTTTTTCCTCCATGAATTTACATACACTTGATGGAAACCCCTGGGTACAGTCAGCAGCATGACAGTCGGTTATGAAGGCTTCCGGGAGGCTCCGGGGTGTGGATCTGAGCCAGATTGAAGGGGAGCCGAAGCAACGAAGAGCCCACAGCAGATTAGACACCCACAGCTTCATGTCGCTTTTATGCGGCAAGCGAGGGATTTTCTTACAACGCTTTTCGCCTAAATGCTCAAGGTTCTCCTCGTGCCCCCTTCTTCCAACTGCTTTTCCCTCAAGTAATTTCCCCTATGTAAACTGCAATGCTGATTACAGTGGAAAATGCATATTTGCAGACTTGCCCCCCCAATTCATAATGTCAGTTAAATTGAACAGGTTGAGTCCACTTATCTGAGATTATTTAAAGTTTGAACACATTTTGTAAGCACATATATAGCTTCAGCAATATCCGCGAACTGATGAAGAAATTTTATTCAGCGTCAAAGCTCGAAATGAAAATTTGAACACCGTGGCTTCCACAGAATTTGTGCAAATTTACCGAAGATATTATCCGCTCAGATGCACACTGACGCAGGCATGCATGCACACACGCAAACACCTCAAATTCCCTTGATGATAATATGACTGGCAGAGGCTAAAGACAGAGTAGGCGGCCGTAATTGAACAAACATAACAATGTAAATATTTACTAATGCTATCCACTGGGATACAGGCAGAATCCCACAAATTCATCTGCTCTCTTCTTCTTCTTCTTTTTGTACCCCTTTCTACTACTTGAACGCACAAAAGACCATCTTTAACAAAACCAACGACCACAATCGTCTTCATTTTATGCTTGTTTGTTAGAGAGGTGGAGATATATATATATATATGCACATATATATCGGTCTGTCTATCCTCTTACCAGGGGTGACCTGTAGCCCATCTGGGCGGGCGATGACAGGAGATCCCTGGGAAATAGCGGCGAGTGTGTCTCGGGGACGGAGCCCACGCCACTGGCTGCTAGTCCCGAGAGCTGCCCGTACCTCGCCATCATCTTGAGATGCTGCTCACAGAACACACACGCTCATACAAAGACACAGGAGGAGAGGGGGTGGGGGGGAGGAGAGACG